CCCCCCCCCCCCCCCCCCCCCCCTCTCCCGTGTCAAGGCCCTATTATTTTGCCCACACGAGACTTATATTATCACTTGGCTCGCGCGAGATTTTTCCATTTTAATTCTCATCGCCAATATAATGTCCTCTAACTGAACGGATTTATTCAATCTACATTTTAAGCAATCTCGTTCCCAGTGGTTTCAAGTAACGAAGTAAATGTACTTCGTTACTGTACTTGAGTACTATTTTTGAAAAGTCAGCATGTAACAAATTAAAGTAAAATTTTTCGGGTGCACTTTTACTTGGAACGAAGTCGTTTTAAGAAGTATCGTTTTACTTCGTTATTTTCATTTTGTGCATGGCGAGGTATTTCGTTACTTTCTAAATTTTGTTTAATTTTACGCGATTTATTTTAATTTTGGGATAGGTAATAGGATCTCTACATGGGTCTGGGATCTCTCGTTTGTGGCTTACTTATAAGTATTATTTATTTAATGGATTTCTTATATCTTCAATGGGGTCTGGAATGTAGACCATGCCGCCAAATATTGCATAATTTGTAGTGTGTTTTTGTATCTCAATCCGTCAATGGAGAAGCCCCCCTCTACACGCTACTGACAATAGTAATTTTACTTTTACTTTGTACTTCAAATATTTTTTAAGGATAATTTGTATTTTTTACTTAAAAACGTTTTGCCTCTAGTACTTTTTACTCTTACTAGAGTCGTTTTATTGTCAATTACTTATATTTTTACACAAGTACAAATTCAAAGTAATTTACGCACCACTGCTCGTTCCCCGAGCCTGCGATCCTTGGGAAGGAAACGAAGGATCAGGGATAATCCAAAGAAGAAATGAATATGATTGATTGCTAGTATGCAATGGAATGTTGCAATATAGCAAAAATTAATATATTGTCTTTGTATTTTGAGAGCAGTGCTATATATAATTACTAGAAAGGAAATGCAAAGAAACGTATTGCTAATGCGTAATTTGCAACTGTTAAATGGAGCGTGAAAACTTTATTCACATTTGTGTTGTATAGGTTTTCGCACTTTTCTGTAGTTTTATATACATAGAGTATAGTGCACTGTACTATTTGACTAGAACATCAAAATTGCTATATTTTGCAAATATATATATATATATTATGTTTGTGTTAGAAATGGTTAATAACTTTAGCTACTTTTTGTTATTTAATTGGAAGGAACGTTTATTATTTTTTAAAGAACTACTGTATGGACCAGACACAAGTTTCAATAAATCCAATCTTGGGATTTACTCTTATAATTATATTTTAATATTTGATGTATATACTGTAGTGTAAACTTTTCAAAGTGCAGGACTGTGTTGTTACCTAGGCTTTCAAAGTTAATATACAGGAAGCACGTACTCATTTTAACCTGTAACTTGTTATTCTTTCCTTTATGTGCCATGTAGGGAAGGATTACAAGTAATATGGGCGCATATGAATCTTTTGCTGTTACAATTTATTTATGGAAGTGTTCAAGACAACGTTTCTTCTCTAAATATACCATAATTTCACAGTCACTGATAAATTGTCAAACTTGTATTCAAGTCTGCATACAGCTAAAGTAGCGTAAAGTATTTAATGTTTTTGGTTGATTTGAGTCATTGAGTAGTGCAATATGCCAAATTGGCAATCCAATATATTAGTTAATCTTGTCCACACAGTAATTCAAAGAAGCCCTGCTCTCTGTATGAGGTTGTATTAATTAATCAGCTTCTTTCCAAGAGAACTTCATAAACCTTTTGGCTTTTGATCTAAATGTCCCAAAGTATGAATTCCAAATTGGGTGACCATACAAATATTTTATTGACAAAAATATTAAATGATAGTGATAAGCTACCAAAACCACAATTCATCTTTCATCAGCTTACCCCTGGTAATGACCCCATGCAGAGAACCACCGAAGGTACAGGGATAATTTTTCGATGATAGAAAATTGTCTGATATAAATACATAATCACAGAAATATTTTTATTACCATAGTCATGACAAATTTTGTCATGAATTACCCTATTAGTTTGATTTCAACTGCGATATCAAAACATTGTTATTTGCACTATAAAACAACGCATACCTACTCTGGGGGGGGGGACAACAAAATTTTTTTCCAAAAATTATATTCTCTCTTTCTTTCTGGTTAACGTACCATCATTCATAAAATTGTCTTTTATTTTTTCGTAAATTTTACAAACTTTTGGCTCTAAATATTAGTTGTTAATCAGTGTAACACACACATTTTTATCCAATTCAAGTAATGCCGACTACAAAAACTATCTCCCGACTTCGATACAGTAGTTTGCCGAATGCCTGATCATTTTGGAGTGTGTGTACCAACCCCCTACGCCCCTTCTAGCAACGCCCCTAAATGCTATAATGCTAGCATTCTCAATTGTTATTATAAATTATCTCTAACCTTGAATGTCCCTATTTAGTATAGTACTTAATTAATGGCAGTAATCAACATGCAAGTCAAGTACATTTCCGGCCATTGATGAGAAATATTTTCCATAATTACAGTAAAATAACAAAATAGGGCGCACTAAAGAGCATTGTGGGTTAATAATCTAATGATTATTAATAACAGATAGGTAGACATGTAGATGGATTTAGTCTGGTTAAACCATTCCAATACCAATCAAAAATTCTGGCGTTAAACAGGTTAAAATTACGAAGTAGGGCAAACTGAGGCACATTGCAGCTTAATGAGATAATTTTAAAACATGTACATGACATGTAATTCTAAACTTGATCCAACTCTATTTTCCAGACACAAAATTTGATTACAATTCAATTATTTAACAAGTGCTGTTGCATCCTTGACATATTAAACTGCTGGCAAACATTGAAATATATTTGGAAAGCTATAAGGGGCAGTTAGAAAATACAACAAGGATTGGTTTATAAACTTTTAATTTCTAGA